AATTTTTTTTGCATTTTTTTTATTAAGAAAAATTCATATTTTAATTTTCAATAAGTATAATTTTTTTTAACGTTCCATTTTTTTCCTTTTTCATAAAAGTTTGAATTTTTGAAATTAAACTAATTTATTTGGACAAAAAAAATGAACAACCTTTTATAATCTATTTTACGAAAATTTATTTTAGAATTTTATATAGAAAATCACCATTACATTTATTTTATATTTAAAATCCAATTCCCCTTATTCTTTCTTTCCAAAATTTGTAAAATTTTAGCCAAAAATATTTTTAAAATCAAAATTTTATGTCCTTTAAAAATAAAGAAAGGGAGACATAAGCAATAAGAATGATCTCAATTTATACTTTTTATTAATAAATAACTATAAATCAATATATCACGAGTAAAAAATATAGATTATTTATAAAATATTTAATTGCATTGAAATATGGGCAATAGCTTTTAAAAATGTTAAAGATAACAAAAACACCACACTTGAATTTTCTTATTTATAATTTTTAAGTGTCATGTGATAAAGTGTCGCATGATAAAGTATCGTCATGATAAAGTGTCGTTAGATAAAATGACGCGTGATAAAGTGTCGCATGATAAAGTGACGTGTAATAAAGTGACTCCAAATCCTATAAAATACGTTAAGAGTTTGATCTGACATAAAAAAGTCTAAGTATATAAAGAAAATACCCTCAATACGTCAGAAATAATTTTTTATTCTATCAAAAATAAATTTTATATTCTAATTTACCCTACCTTTTCTAATCTAGTAGAACTAGATAATTTTGTATTTTTCAATTTCTAAATACGGAATTAAAATACATTTCAAGCTTTAAATACATCATGAAGAAAAAATTGCTCTTCAATTTATTAGAAACCGGATTAATGGACAAAATACGAACATAAATGGCCTGGACCTCGCGAAATTAATTTCCAAAAAGATAGCAACTTTTGGTTAAATTAGACTTATCGCATCAGATAAATATATATAAATTTGAATAATTTTTTTCATTTTTCAATTGTAAAAAAATGATAATATTAAATAATTAATACTGAAATAAAGATTTATAAATTTGTAATTTATGATTAGAAATTAATATAAATTTGTAATATTACTATTTTATTATAGGTTTATTTCCACTTTTGGCCGAAATTGAGTTAGGACTGAAATACTATTATTAGGAAGAATCCCCTTCACCATTTTACGTTTTAAAACCCTGATTTTTTAAAATTTTAAATATGTATTTTATGTAATAAAATAAAGTTCTTTCCTCCTTTTAGCCCAATATAATTATTATTGTTAAATACAAGTAACAATGTTTATTAATGGATTTTGTATTGTAGAAGACTTAAGGCTTAAAACGATATATTATATTATATAAATATATGTTTTGAAGAGTTATACAATGATTTTTATTTTAATATAAAATTGATTTTAATTTTGTATATATACTTAAATGATCATGATTACTTTCACCTTTTGTTTTTTTGATCTTAGTTGAAAATAAAATCATTATTCTTCCTTAATTATTCAATACAATCGCTCACAATTTATTCTATTCAATTATCCACAATTTCTCTTTCATTATGGTGGAGGATAGGGGCACCAGCTTATTGGAAGCTGGTGCGGAGACTGAATTCAACATATGTGCGCCTGGCATGGGTCTGAAGTTGAAGAGACTGGTTACATCCTTTGCGTGGTAGGTATGGGTCTGAAGATGAAGAGACCGTTGTTAGAATGATTCAATTTAATCGTTATAAAAATAAAAATTTTTTACATTCTCATAATTGCTAAAGATTTTATAAGCACCTTTTTTGTTTTACAATTAAAATATCCTTAAATTTATTTTTTTTAACTTGTAAATTTAATTTTTTTTGTTTAATAACAAGGATTAGTATTTGAAGTAATACAATTTCTGGAATGTGGTAATATAATAATAATTAAATTAAAACCAGTATTGGTTATTATTATTATATTATTCCAATTTATATAATGTAAGTTATATCTTTCTTATAGATCTAAGTCAAGTGTATAACTACGAAAAAAATCTATATGCTATTTTTAGGTTGACCCCTCTCCATTAACCATATAGAGTGTAATTTATTTATAATTACGAAAAACAACTATTATGGATAACTACTAGCACAATTATAGTGTAAATTATACCTTTCTTATATATGTCGAAGTCAAGGGTAATTAGGAAAAAAAACTATATTGTATTGCTAGTTTGACCCCTCCCCTCCCAATTTATTTGATTTGTTGGTATACTAATCATTGTTATTTAACTATTTCTTCCAAATATTTTTTTATAAATTTTTGATAATATATGTATCATACATACTCCGTAATACAAATTTTTAATTCTCGTTATGATATTTGATATACTTTCCCCAATTTTTTGATATTCTCTCAAAATTATTTCGTATTATCAATTGTATTGTCATTACTTAATTTTTTTTTTGGGGGGGGGGGGGGTGATGCATGTTAAATACAAGTAACAATGTTTATTAATGGATTTTGTATTTTAGAAGACATAAGGCTTAAAACGATATATCATATTATATTTAATATTAAATTGATGTTTTGAAGAGTTATACAAAGATTTTTATTTTAATATTAAATTGATGTTAATTTTGTATATATACTTAAATGATCATGATTACTTTCACCTTTTGTTTTTTTGATCTTAGTTGAAAATAAAATCATCATTCTTCCTTAAATATTCAAAATTAACCAATTACAATCATTTTTTATCACGTGATAATAAAAAAATATTCAGAAGTTTAGGATTTTTAAATAGCAATTTAAAATCCAATATTTAAGAATCAGCCTAAAGCGTACCTTTATAATTTTTATTTCGCTTATAACTGATTTCTGGAAATTGTACTAATCAGATATTACATTAGATATTAACACTTTCATATATTCAGTGTTTCTATAATTTTCGTTCTAGCATGATGTCAATCTTGGTAATTTTTTCTTAATTTACCAATAAGGCGTTTTTCTTTAAACTATAACAACCAGGTTGAAACACTAAAATTTACTAAATACATATTAATTATTGATATAAATCAGAGCTAAGACTTCAAGAAGTTTGACTGACATCAGGCTCAAAGCGTTATATTAGGTTTTTATTTGGCTTATAATTCAGTCATTTTGTTATGGTTGTCGAGATTGATCGAAGAATTTATAAGTGCAACATTAATTAATAACGCAAACTAGATATTTAAATCTATATTCTTCGTTCTGAAATGATGTCAATTTTGAAAACCCAGGCCTTTCCAAAATTCTTATGTCAACCCCAGTTACCCTCCTCTTCATTTATCTTAATCCCTTACTCTCTCCCCCTTTGCTGAATTTACTGTTAGAAATTATGCCCAAACACGATAATTTTGTCAAAAATAAATCCCTTAATTATAAAAATCTTATAGTTTTTGCACGAGATCATTGTGTTTTTAAAATAGTTCTCATAAAAATTGACTTGAGTGTATATAGAACCCTATTATAATCAGATAGTGATATGAAAAAAAACTTACATTAACGCGTTATATAAATTGTGATAACCTTTGTCCCTTGTAGTCCCGCTTTTTATTATCTTATTTAGAAAATCCTGCAAACTGTGTTGTGGGAAATGGCACATCTGACAGCGCGGATTATATTAGATTAAAAAACAATTATTTATTTCAAAATATTGGATAGTCAAACAATTTTTAAACATCTGGTGGAGGTTAACAACATTTTTACAAATGCGTTGGCAGGTAAATTTTTTAAAAATTATGAACGCAGGGGTTAACAAAAGGTCTGCGTGTTGTCTATCTTTAACTCACATGGTTAATAATGTGGCTCCCAAAAGAACCTTTTAAATTATGACCCTATCCAAAGCCGACTTTTTAAATGTGTTGATTACAATTATATGCTATAGCTAAGCTATACCATTGTTCCAAAATAATAATCACCTTAAAATAAATATTATCTTCTATTATTCTGCTATGATAAAAAATTTGAAAAAATATCGTTTTGCCTTTTTTAAAAATTGATTTTATAAAATTATTGATAATTTTTAACTAGTATTTACAATTAACTCTACATAATATTATAATATAACAATGAACTATTATAGCTAACATAATATTGTTATGATTTAGTTCAAGCCAACCTTGACATTCGAAATGTGTGGTTTCTTCGCAATGAAATGAATCACGGAAAGAAAATCGATTTCATTTTCCTTCCCATTTATTATGATGCCGATTATTAATTACCTTATCTGCCAAAATAAGATAACTTTAAAAAAATATGTATTCCTTTTGTCATCAATTAATGGCATCATTATGGAATAACAAAAACTCAACAATTCTAAATATTAAAAAAATAAGGTTTTTTTTAGCATCGCCATAAAGACTATCCGAACGGCACTGTTATCAAAGTATTTTATTACTAGATTAATAATAATTTTTTAAATAAATGACGGATTAATTATTTAAATTTATGACATCGCTTAATATTATTTCAAGAAATGTGTCTTCCTTTTGTATTGATTGATTTTTATAATTTATATTGTTATTTATTCGGGGGAGGGGGGGGGGTGTAAAAAAATTTTTCCGATTCTTATTTCTTTTGTCGCAGCTGAGTATTACTTTTTATATACAAAAAATATACAATATTTATAATTTAATACAATAGTAATATTTTGAATTTTTTTAACAAAATGAAAATATCAAAATAGGATAAATTATATTTTTATAGGGGAGTTTACTAGACTCATATATAGTTCATTTATCAATAATTATAACATAATAGCCTGCATTTTTTTTATATAAAAGGAATTATATAAATTGGACATTTATTCCAATTTTTTTTAGTACATCAAAATTATTTATTATCTATCTGTTTAAAATAATCGATTTGGCGAAATTTTTATTAATTTGCTTTTATAATGATAACGCAAATCGCGTACTTATATGAATCTAACCTTAAATCATTGCATATTTTAGCAACGCGGAAGGACGACAGCACATTTTGGCGGATCTTCAGGGCTCGGAAATACATTCTTGGCGCGCTATATCCCGGAATACCGAATTTTTTTTGAACCCCTTGCAATTTAGGACAAGCCATTCGATTCCACCACCACCATCTTCATCATTATCTTTTACGGGAAGCTTTGGTGGCCAGCTCAAGGAACCAATCGAATCGGAAAAAAGATTTAAAGAAAGGGAAGATATGTTTAAGCGAGCCCCCAGACTAATTCAAATAGGTGACTCTCAACCTTTTTTTTTGCAAAGTGGTAACGGAGTCGGAAAGAAGCGGTTTTACGAGGCCAAAATAGTTGCCAAAAAGGGTAGAAAATGGAAGAAGGGCGAAGAGGATGTCAAGATTATCGATGATCATCTAGAAAACGGTAAACTGGACGATCATTACGATGGATTAGAAGATTACCTCGAAAATATTAAAAACAATCGCCCTGGCAAAAATTCTGATAAAATACCTGTCAAGATTCACGATTTCGACAAAACCATTGATGGTAAAAAATCGAAATTGGATAATTGTTTTGTGAACTGTCATATGGATGAGGCTTACCCTTTTGATTTTGATCTATTTCTGGGAGAATCAAAGCAAACTAGTAAATAAATTTTTTGTGTAAATTAGGATATTTTGTGGCATGTCAATTTTTTCACCTCAATTAATTTATACAGGGTTGGCAAGCCGGTCCATTGACTGAAAGTATATTTGACCGGTCGATATGGTCAGATAGTCTAAAATGTTATTTTTAATATTTTAGATTAAATATAACATATTATTATATATATTTTTAAAATGAACCTATTTATCAATTTAATTACATAATAAATATACAGATATACCATTTGCATAGTCTGGCCAGGTTTTTAAAAAAAATTTGGCCCCCTGCCTGGATTTTTTATAAAATATTTTTAGGGCCTGCCCTGCCCGGATTTTTTTAAAAAAGGAAGATTAAAATATTTTTTATTTATTTTTAATTCTTTTAGATATAAAATAATTTTTTTAGGCCCATTTCGAGTATATTTTAAAAAATTAAAACCTGTGTAAGGCCTGCAGGTTTTTGATAAATACAATATCGAAAATTTTGATTAATTTTTCTTGGAATTTTTGGTAAAATATTAATCAATTTTTCAGAAATGATATTTTTAGGTATGATCTATCCGAAAATATGTTTTTTTATCATTAGAAATTTTATGGTAATGACATCGGTTATATTTATAAATTTTTAAATACCCAGGAAATCACCAAACGACAGACTATATTTTCCAGTAAATTAAAAATATAATTGAAGAATTAAATGTCACATTTAATTATGGATGTGCCGCTCACATATTACAATTATTTTTTCCTTGAACAAGTTGAGTTATTTGATATACATATATATCCATTATTGAAAGGTTGTTAAATTTTAAAATTAACATATACCAAGTGCAGTATTTTCCTGCTACAGACATGCCATATCACCTACTTTAAGTACGATTTGTTTAATGAAGTGAGCTTCCTCAATAAAATGCATGAAATAAATATGAATTTGTAAAAGCGCTTTAAAGGCGTCCGTGTTAAAGATACTGTTTGTGATATATGCCTAAAAGAAATATGTGACCATATCAGAATCACGGACAAAATTTTTTTTAAAATTTACTTAAACCGCTTATGATTGTTGAGAATTCAGGGCACAAATGCACTTTGTCCCAAAAAATAAACAAAATATTTGGAATGCATTAGAATCCATAGCATCAAGCTGTTGGAAGAAACTTTGTCTGACTTGCCCCTTAAGGGAAGTAGCAAATATCTTATTAACTCTTCCAAATTCAACTTCTTCTGAAACACATTTGTCCGTCTTGGGTAATATTCATACATAGAACCGAAATCATATTTCAAGAATCTTCTTCGTCGTTTAGTGGCCATTTTCCACCTGGGTAGGCCATTTTCCCTTCTAATCACTTTTATCCATCTTACGCGGTTCTGGACATTGCCCCAGGTCAAACCTAGCTTTTTCATGACATTATATAACACTTTGATTCAGCGTGTATTTGGTCTTCCTCTATTGTTCCCTCCACTTCCAACTGCATCTAATCAACCATCATACTTTGCCTTTCGTTCAACAGGTTCAAGTCATCTCAGTCCATTTATTTTCAAGACATCGCCTATTGCTTCTATCCTAATCCTTTCTCTCAGTTTCTGGCTTGTTTGTAGAGATATTCCGCATATCCATCTAATCATTCTCATCTCCATTCTTTCTAATTTGTTCATGAGTCGCCTTAATTGCCCATGTCTCGCTACCGTACATATAATTTCTTACACAGCTTACATTAACTTTTCCCTTCAAAGCTAGGGAGCTATTTTTATTGGTTAAAATGGAAAACATCTCTCTAAATTTTTCCAAGCGTATCTTATCCTTGCCACCACTGTCAAGTCAACGCCTCCATCTACACTAGGAATATCGCATAGGTAACAGAACTTACTTTTTCCAAACTGATTTATTTACAATATGAAAACCATATTACAATCATTTTTGCAATAAAAACATTTAATTGAATTTGACTATATTTGCCCTACCTTGTTTTATACTTCTAGTTCTAAGTAGCTAGAAGTTTAATTTTTTAAAAAACTTTTATTAGTTTTATATATTATAAATCTTTTATATTTTCTAAAAAATGACTTATTCCATTTCTTATTTATAATTGCCACATCTCCTTATATATATATATAAATTACGCAAGTTGATGACGATGCTAACGAAGACAGTTTGCTTAGTAGAGCTCCATTGGCCGGAGATACTTGCATATCCTTGCCCACATCTTTACCGCTTTCACCCTTGTTAAAAATATACGGAGGGGATTCTAATGTTAAAAGTAACATATTTACTTTTAATAATAAATTGATTTATTTGTTATGGTAAACAACTCATTTCTCAGATAAGATTATTATAAAATTATGATAATTTAATTTAAGCTATAAAAACTTATTAAGAAATAATACATAACTTGGAACCAAACATTTATGGATTGTTTATATGCTGAGAATAGTGGGAAAATATCTACAAAAATTAGTAAAAGGGCGGAGAGATGTATCACAGAGGTAAAGACTAAAAGGTTAGAAATGTTGAAAAAACCAGCACTTGGAATATATATCAAAATATCAATTAAATGCATTAGCTGTTAGAAAATATATTTATTATTTAATATTTTTAATTTATAAATTTAAAAAAAAAATTGCCAAGAGTCAATACATCTAGACTGCTCGTCATTTATTAAAACCAAGTTAGAAGCTCGACGATTAGCTCCTTTAGATAATATAAATCCTGCTCAAACATTATCCAAGCATTTAATTAGTCAAAATCCAAACTACTCTTTTTCCGTAGGTTCCAACATTTTATTTTAGATATTATTTTATTTTGCCGCTATTGTCATGTGCTTTACAAATTAAATAGACTATTAATATATTTATGGAATTATAATATAATTTTTTTAGTCGTTTCATCGTTTGAGGATGAAAATGAATACAAATCAGATCGATCATAATTAAGCAATTTGTCTATGCCATAGGCTACTTTCGTTTTATGCAAACAAGTTTTCCGACTTAAAAAAAGAAATTTCCTCTTTATACATACTACTATTATTTATTAGGATAATGAGAATTTCGAAAATATATTCTTAATACTATAAAGCATCCAAAGGTGATGGCCTCTTTATCTTGTTTCCTTTTAGGTTGGTCCATCCATCTCTACATCCTACAAACATTTTCTAAGTTGTCCAAAAAGTAATCTCCATAGTAATCTCCATTTACTTTATTGAGGTTTCATTCTATAAATATATATATATAGACTTTTGTAAAATACCTATGACAAATGATTACTTTTATAATTAAATACAAATAAATTGGTCCAAAATATTTAGTTAAAAACTTTACAGCTGCTACATGTCCTAAATTTCCTTATATACTTCGACTTTGTGATACAACATAATTGATATTTGTTTTAATACACAAATTGTGTCATTTTAAGCTCTTTTTTTATTATTAAGGCTTATTATTTTTTTAAGAATATATTATTATGTCTATTTGGCATCGCTTAGTTTGATCCAATCTTAGCCTTCTGTTTTTTATCTTTAACTTTATATATGCATACAAATTAGTCATCAACCCTCTCACAAAGGATCAGTATTCCTCATAAAGCAAAACATTTCTTCCCCCGACTCTCTGCTGATTGTAGGATTGATAGCATGGAAAATATTCTCGAGGATATCATAAGTTTACAAGAAGAATCTCAATTTCAAACATCCAATAGTCATCTTTTAGGGCGGACTGACTGCAAATCTAAAAGGGTGGAAAACATCAAGCGTTCTCTACTTTCGTCTTCAGATTTTGGGTATTTATTTGGATTTTTATTTAAATAGTTGTTTCATAATTTAGTCTATAATCCTTTTTATCTTTCAAAGTTTTAGATTTAATATATCTAAAACTCTTTTCGGGTCTATTTTATGTCTAAATTTCGGTTCTAGGGAGGAATTTTTGATGTACGATTTTTATTTAATAAAAAAGTTAGTATTTTTTTTAAAAACATATGTAAATTTTTATACATATAAATTTTTATAATTTAAATTTATTATTTTTGAATATGGTGTTATATTTTGTCCTTTGTGATTTTTATATACGACTTTTTTAAATATAGTCTTAATACTTTATATATTGGTTTGATAGAGAGAGAGGTGGGGGTATTTTTAAAATTATGCAGATACTTTTATTCATAATTAATTTATTCCAAAAAATATAAAACACAGTGACGATCAAAAATTATCAATCATTGCACCTTATAACTCAAAATTAATTCAAATTCCCCTTTCAAGAAATTTACCCATAATAATACCTCCCCTTTCTATTTCACAATTACCAATTACATCTTCAAATAACATTTTGAATTCTTCTGGGTTAAGTGATATTACCACAGAACGTCCGTCTTTAGCATCCCAGAAAGCTTTAAGAACGTTGACTCATTCTAATAATAATAATATTAATAATGGATTAATTACTTCGGCCCCAAAATTATCAATCACGACCACATTTACCCCCAACAATATAAATTGCAATCACTCTTCGCCTGATCCAAGTATAGCGATTAAAAATCTTTTCAAAAAAATGGACTACAACGTTACCAGCCAAAATCTTGAAAGAAATAATGACTTGATCTCTTTCAGACCTAAATCAATCATAAATGATAAAATATCGGTGGCACCCAAAAAATATGGTTACAATGGAATCAAATTGAATGAATCAGGTAATTTCGGCAATTTTACTACAAATAGTATCCGCAGTAGATTAAATGATACATTTGCCAATACATCGGTCGATAGGCAGTTTCAAAATGGTGCAATCAGAAAAAAAATAGGTAAGTTTTAATATTTGTATGCCTTTAGCAATGATAAAAATTCTTTTTATTTACATATACATTGGTGTCTCTATATTATATTTTGGTAACCTTTTGACACTTTATGTTGAAAGTTCAGTGATTATTTTTGTAAGTTTTAGGATAATATATTTTCAAATTTATTTGAAAAAATTATTGGTGTCTATATTATGTTTTGGTAACTTTTTGTTTATGTTAAAAATTTTAATTATTATTTTTGTACGTTTTATGATAACATATTTTAAAATTTGAATTTTAACCGATTACAAATTCCTAGACCCTAAATTCGTCCCGAAGGTTTTGATAAACAGTGTTTTAGCCAATCTCCTCAGAAATGGGGAAGACCTATCCAATGGTTACAAATGTTTTGAGTCTGCAAACGGAAGAAGGGACTTAGTCCAATCTGATATCCCTAATATAGATATAGATCCATACATTAGCGATTGCAAATATCGGGGTTATAGTTTCGATAAGGTAATTTTTTTTAAAGATATAAATGAATTAAGAACAATAGTTACTATGATCACTTAAATCACATTTTATTTTTTTTAAATATCTTATATCAAACAATTTAACTCAATGTTGTGCTTATAATAATGTAAAGGGAGGGTGGTTATATACTATATACATTTCTTAATAAGTACAAATTATTAGTTCCTGTGATACAACATTATATTTAACTATATAATATATTTAAAAAAATGTCAACTTTAAAAAGAAGATAATATTACCCAGGAATGAAAATACGATTTCAAAAATTATTTTTCTATGAATGCCCTTATACTAAATCAATGTTTATTTTTCTTAAATTCACACCTTAATATATTTATATGACAACTCTTTTTCTTTATGAATCTTTCCTTTATTTTTGTTAAATATATTTTCGAAATTCCTTTTAATATATTTATTACTTTCAGATTTTTTAAAAATATTCTTTATAAGGGAAAAAATATAAATTTATTATTAATTTTCTTCAATCGTAAAAATAACAATGAATGCGCAAAAATAACTTCTCCCCAAAAAACAGACATATATGACATTATTAATATATATGACAATATTAATAATTTTTTTAATTAAAGCGTTAACATATAGCTAGTAAATGTTTTTATTTATTATGAGCCGCATCATATTTTTGCAAATTAACTCTCCACACAAAATGATCTCTATCTCTATTATTGTGCAAGAGATTATTGAAATTTTAATTAATTTTAATAAGCTATCAATTTAGGTAGACACTTAGACATAGAGCTAGAGAATTCTTCTATGTGAATATGAATTAGAGAAAGAAATGTTAATAATATAATCAATATTCATCCAATTTTCCGAGTTTATTAGGGAAAACAGAATAGATCAAAATATATAAACAAAATGAAAATGAATAAAAATAAAATATTATGTTCAAGAACTATTATTCAAATGAGAATTTTTGAGAATGGGCTCATAATCCACATCTCCTTCAACAAGATAATTAACATTACATAATCATAAAACGACCCAGTTTAACAAATTTTTTCTCTCTTTCTTTCTTTCTTTCTTTCTTTCTTTCTTTCTTTCTTTCTTTCTTTCTTTCTTTCTTTCTTTCTTTCTTTCTTTCTTTCTTTCTTTCTTTCTTTCTTTCTTTCTTTCTTTCTTTCTTTCTTTCTTTCTTTCTTTCTTTCTTTCTTTCTTTCTTTCTTTCTTTCTTTCCTTTCTTTCTTTCTTTCTTTCCTTTCTTTCTTTCTTTCTTTCTTTCTTTCTTTCTTTCTTTCTTTCTTTCTTTCTTTCTTTCTTTCTTTCTTTCTTTCTTTCTTTCTTTCTTTCTTTCTTTCTTTCTTTCTTTCTTTCTTTCTTTCTTTCTTTCTTTCTTTCTTTCTTTCTTTCTTTCTTTCTTTCTTTCTTTCTTTCTTTCTTTCTTTCTTTCTTTCTTTCTTTCTTTCTTTCTTTCTTTCTTTCTTTCTTTCTTTCTTTCTTTCTTTCTTTCTTTCTTTCTTTCTTTCTTTCTTTCTTTCTTTCTTTCTTTCTTTCTTTCTTTCTTTCTTTCTTTCTTTCTTTCTTTCTTTCTTTCTTTCTTTCTTTCTTTCTTTCTTTCTTTCTTTCTTTCTTTCTTTCTTTCTTTCTTTCCTTTCTTTCTTTCTTTCTTTCCTCTTCTTTCTTTCTTTCTTTCTTTCTTTCTTTCTTTCTTTCTTTCTTTCTTTCTTTCTTTCTTTCTTTCTTTCTTTCTTTCTTTCTTTCTTTCTTTCTTTCTTTCTTTCTTTCTTTCTTTCTTTCTTTCTTTCTTTCTTTCTTTCTTTCTCTTCTTTCTTTCTTTCTTTCTTTCTTTCTTTCATGTATTAATATAATTACAAAACTTTAAAAAATAAGTATTTTATTTTTATTATTATTACAAATACATTTTTAAAATATAAATACTTAATACCTACGTAAATTTTCGAAGAAAGTATTTAAGTACAAATACTTTGACGATGATGATGTGTGTAAAATTTTAATTAAAATAAAACAAAAATTCTAACATGAAGATAATTAGGATTCTAATATAATACTTAAATAAATGAGTCTGATGATAAATTGATGTATATATCAATATATTTCACACATTTATTAGGTTCAATCTTACTACATAACTTGACTAATAAAATAAATGAAGGCATACATGCAATTAGAAGAAAAAAATTAATACATTTATAAAATCAAGATAATTATTTATATTTAAAATGGAATAAAAAATTAGAGGATGATGAAATTACTCCATTTTTTTTAGTTGAGACACAGATTGCATTGTGTTTTTATTGATTTTAGAATATATAGAAAAACATTTCCTCATGATTATACGACTTTTAGAGGATATTAAGGTCGTCCATACTCTGCAAAAAAATATTAGTAACATCATAATATCTCTTAAAGAATAATTTTAGGAACTGGAATCAGTATCTTCTAGTTTTCTAATCTTCTTTTAATGAATTTATTTCTTCTGTTTCACTTTCAATATGAACATGGCTCATTACAATATAAGATGGATGAACATGATATGATCATGATTTTTTTTCTAACTCAATAATTAATATTTAAATAAATAAATTGTGGCTTTTGCATTTATAATTTAATTTACAATAAAAATATTTAAAGTATTTATATTTATTTTGAAATCGTAATAAAAACAATATAGTTTTCATTTTTTTAATATTTAAAATTTAAATACTAAATACTTTCTAAATTATTCAAATGAATACTAAATATAAAAAAGTATTTCGTATTATACAAATATTCGCGATACTGCCCAACCCTGAACACACCTGGCATAAAAATATAGGTAATATTACTAACACTAAATTGATCGAGATCGAAGATAAGAAAATTAACCATTAAATTATTATTTTGTTGCCTGCCTTATATACCTTATTAATATCAATTAATAATTAACATGTTTCTGTAATGATTTATATATTCTTATCCCCGTTTTCTCCCGAAAAAAACAACGAATAAACATGATAGTTCGCACATCGATCAGATGACTTGGAAATTTTTGACACCAAATTTACAAATTTAAATAAGTACAATAGTCTTTGCCGTTCCCCAGATGACAAGAAATTGTTTAACGATGATCCTACATTTATTCACTACAATGGTTCTAATGGCGCTTCAAGTAATTATGAAAATTTTTTTTTAATATTAACAAGGCCATTGCTTACTATTGAAAATAACTTAACAGCTCATTTTAACTTGATAAATTAGTATTGGCGCTTTTTTTTAAAAAAAATATAGATATTAGTAGAACTACCTATACTATTTTTTTGAAATTATTAAGACACTGAATTACTTATATCATTAAAGTATTTTTAACAACAAGCATTTTAAAAAGAAGTATTATAATTAGACCTGTGTGCTGATGTATTAATAGACGGCGGCGGTATTTTTAATTTTTCCATCGGCGGCAGCTGTGCGATATTTATTAAAAAAAATTTTTTTAATGAAATTAATTTTTAAATCAATGTATTACATTTTTTTAAATTTATTTGGGCGCTCATTTCTAACACATTGTTAATATATAATTCATTTCTTAAATTATTTCTTGTCACTCCATTTAAATTTATGTATTTTCTCATTCTCAGAAATAAACTAAGGAATTTCATTTTTACTCAGATCAGAGTTACATAAACAACACATAAAATATTCTATTGATTTTTAATATAACAATTAAAATATAAATTTGGAATGCAAGCATGTATTATTTTATTAAATGGAAAACGTCTTCAATACTACCAATCTCATAATATGGTTTCTCTAGTATGCTTTTATATAACATTGCTAGTTGCCAGGGTAAAATATTTAAAATTAAGATTTTAATATAAATGATGATGAATAAATGTGATATAATTTCGACGCTTGAAATGAACGAGCGCCTTTATATATAAATAAACATCATCTAGTACACCCCGGCTAATGGTTGTCCTATTAGGCAATTCTGACGAACAATCAATTATCTTATATTTCTATTTTTTTAGGAAATATATTTTTTTAATATTCATTTTATTTTTGAAACCTTTAGAAAATCAGTCATCTCTTTATTGTTTATAGAATCATGGCATTAAATCTAACCAGCACATCAAAACATAATTTCGCCCTATTAGATTTCATGTTAATTTCAAAAAACATCAAAATAATTAGAGCTGGAATGAATCAAATTAAAAATTTGATTTAGTTTTGAACTTTCAAAATAATATTTTGCATAATTATTTTAATAGATTATATATTAAGTTTATAGATTTCAAAATAGAGCTGACAATAAACAAACTAAAAATTCAGTTGTTTTGAACTTTTCAAAACAAAGCTTAATAAAATTAATTTAACAAACCAGTTAATTGTTGCTACATCTTGGTGTTAGCCTTAAAATTTTTAGACTTTGAATGGATTTATTTTTAATTTTTTTTATATTTTATGAACAATAACTAAGTGTCGATAAAGGTTACTTGTATTTATATTATTGCTAAAATTTTATTTCATGCGAATCTTCCTCATCTTTTCCCCCCAATTTTAAGCAAGGTCAATAAATATAATCAGGCATTATTGTGCTTTTCTTATTTTCATTCTTCAAAATAAGATTTCCAAAGATTATTAGAGAGTTGTTATTTCATAATTGTATATTTACAGTATAGCGAATAGAAAATAAACAATGGTATAATTAGCGTAATAATAGGTATTTATGTAAATAAATATTAGGGGGGTGGTTTAAAACGTGCAAGTCCATAAAAATAATTCATATGTATTGTTTGTGGAAATGAAATATGATGTAGGAATGACTATTATATATAGCAATAGAATACAAATCATATTTGAATATTATTAATGTTAATAATATTCAAATTTAAATAATAATAATTTAATATATAAATATAATTAAACAGCATTCTAAAAATTATACACGCCGCGCCGCCGCCATAAAAAATTCGGTGATGAACCAGCTAGCGTCATCTCATTTGGCGGCTGTTCCGGCGTGAATAAAATTTCCGGTGGCGCACAAATCTAATTATAATATATCTCATGTTAGCCATAATAAGATTGTTAATTTATTATAATAAATTTTTTTTTTCATGGGATGGCCCATTTATATTTTTAAAAAAATAAATAACATAGCGCCCCTTTTCTATCTAATTAATATTTTAAAAAAGGATAGTGTTTTTTTAAATAGTTACTATGGCTCTAAAATATTTTTATAACATTGGCATGAGGTACAGTTTTTTTGAATTTCTAATTGTTTAAATTTTTTAGGGGATTGTTTATTTATATTCATCTTTATAAAAATAAATATTCAAAGCCAATTTTTTTTTCTTCAAATTATATTTGTTTAGCTCCCACCTGCATCGAATCAGATACCGACCATTTACTCCCTTTCGATTCTCCACCTCGTTTCCTGTCTCAGAATTTTTTCGACGAAGGCAGGTATAGTATGAATGAAGGCTTAAATTTAATAGAAGGTCCAAAAGAGTTTTTATTTCATTACAATAACGACGAGAATATGGATATGTTTGAAGAAACTAGTATTTTGGATGATTTGATATGAAATTTTACAAACACAAAATTATAGGTCACCCCCCCCCCCCCTTCCCCCATTTAAATGGTATTTATAATTCTTTCGATTTTTATCAAAAATTATTTACCGTCCCATTTTTTCTTTAAATTTAAAATAATTTTTCACCATTTTTTTTTTGAACTCATGCCACTTATAAAATTTATATGAATGAGGAAATTTAAATCATTGAACTTTTTTTTATTGATGGTTTTTGAACCTAAATGCAATAGTTCATTTTTCTTGAACTAATATACTAATCTCAATTAATATATCAATATTTAAAATATATTATATATTTATTATAGATTTAAGAAAATTTATTATATTTTTCAATGAATTTTTAATGGCATAGGAAAAAATATATCGCACAATATAAATATATATGTTTAATTCAATCCTATGATGATTTTAAAACGCAACAAATTGCTCATATTTTTCTTTTGTTACAACACTGCCCCCTCTTGAAATCTTTTATATTATCTATTCCCTTGATAGATAAGCCTATTTTTTTTATAAAAAGCTTTATGAATGAAAATTTTCAAAAGATATCAAGATCTACCATACTAATTAAGACAATTGTATATAATGACTGGTGAAATGATAAACAAATTTCGATTATTCATTTTAAAAGACTTTCCTCGTTGAATTAAATTATGCATCCTTACCTCATAAATGCTATCTTGAAAATTTAATATCTTTAGCAACTATTAAATTTGTTATCGTCATTATTATATATATAAATCAGTCACTTTAACAATTATTATATTATTATAAATAACAAATTTTACATTTTTTTTATTAACCAATAAATTTTTTGTAATGAAATAAGTTTTAATGTAATAATAATATAATTTTGATTTGGCTTGATATTCCATTTTCCAGGATTTGAAAAAAGGATAAGAATTCAAACTACTACATCTTATTACGCATAAAGTTTTATAGTCACAGATCACTAAAATATAAATATATCGTTAGAGCTCGAGATCTAGACCGAATGCAATTATTATTTTATTATTATTCAAAATAAAACAAAAATAAGAATTTTTTTTCAATGTATTAGTTTGGGACGTACTCTTAATTCTAAAAATAATACATATAAAAGCAAAAACAAAAATGACTTAATATTAAAAAACTTGGGTTGTTTTATCCTTGGAATTAGAGGTGGGCGCGGGCCTAATTTTTTTTCACCGCTCACAATGGCAATAAAATAAAATTCACGCCCATTCATGCTAACCATTAAAAAATTTTTGGCCCAACCCGCTCGCTCACGAAAGGCAATATTTTGATTCACGCCCGAAAATTCACGGTGTTTTTAAATTTTTCAAAACTATTGCTATTGTTTTACACTTTTTTGAATTTATTCTATTTATTTCATTAATTTCATAATCCATGTTAATAACAAAAAATAAATATAATCTATAAATCAAAATTTTTATTTAGAAAAAGATGAATATCCATCTTTTTTTATTTCAATTGTGTACGCCTTTCCTCTAATAAGAGATTGGCTACAGAAAATAACCTTTCACTAGAAGCCAAACTTGCCGGGGCTGACAAAATATGCTCGCTAATTTTCTCAAAAAAGGAAATGAATATTCCTGCTTTCAAAACTTCAAAATATTGTCTTGTTATTTGTCTTATGAGCTATGAATCTTTTAAGGTCATCCTTACAGCTTTCATCTGTAGATGTTGATGCTTCATCAGAATCATCTAGAAATTTTCTATTAGAATATACGGCCTTTTATGAGGATAAATTAGGAAAGTAATATGATAATTGGCATTGACCATTTAGAATATTCGGTTTTTCATGAGTTTAGAATAAATAGGAAAATAAATGATAGTTGGCATAAACTTAGGCATATCTTAGCATTTTTAAGGTTGTTTTATATACACCATCCTTTTCTTCTATTAAAAACTTAAGACTTTTGAAATTCGGATCTAGAATCAAGCCTATCTTAGTATAGTGGCTGCATAATAAATCATTCCTTTAAAAGAAATCTTTTTCTGTTTTTTAAGGTTTTAATTATTATTATTGTATCACGTTCAGAAGGTTAACGAAATTTTACTAATTTTTGTTTCCATAGATAAGCTTCATTTATTGTTCGACGAGAATCTGTGCTCAGATTATCCGAGAATTGTTTAAATATTGATAAAAATTTATCTAACTCGAGTATGATGTTGATATCAATTGTGGCTAATCTATTTAATTCTTGCTTGCTAAACAAGTACACCTGTATTTCAGAATATGATTTTAAGAGACTCTGTATCATGCTATATACAGAGTTTCGTTATTACAACTTGTTCAAGGGTTTGGTTTAGCTTGCTATTAGCTGTAGATTCTTTGAAATATTGTACTATTTTTCTTTTCATCATTTACATTTAAGGCTATTTCAGTTAAACGTCAAAAATATAATGCATAATATTGTTTTGTATATGGCATATACATGCAGCGTTTCGTTAACTTTGAATGCACTTATATTTGCTCCGTTATCAGTCACACAACTTTACATTTATTTAAATAATTTTCTACTTCTGGGTATTCTTCTAAATTTGAATTGACTACACTTTTATGTTTTGATTTCCCTTGTGGCCAAAACAAATGTTTTTAATTCAAAATCCTTAATGATAATATGTCCTGTAATTAGGGGTGGGACCAATACCAATATAATATTGGTTTACAATACCAATACCAATATAAACCAATATGTATTTAAATATTGGTATTGCTTTTACAACCAATACCAATTACCTAAATATATTGGTTTTGATATATTGTTTAAATACAATTTTAACCAATACCAATACCAATATTAAAAATAACATAATTATTTGGGTTTATCGTGGATAATTATATCGTGGTATTTTTTTTACTTTCATTGCAAAAACTGATTACATCTGTTATTTCTTCCAAATACTACTGTGATATCAATATTTCTGTTATTTATAATTATAGTTTATTTTTATTATGGAAGTAAATTTTTTACATGATATCTATCAATTTTATCTATTTATTTAGGATATTATAATAAATGAAGACCAAATAGAGTTAATAAATATAGATGCTGTTGGTACTAATAATAATAGCGATAAGGAACAAGAAGAATTTATCTAATAAAAGACGAAATTCAGCAAAAATCTGGGAATTTTATACTAATTGTGATAATAAAAAAAAGGCAATTTGTAATAAATGTAAAAAAAAATATCACTTCCCAATTTTGGAACCTCAGGATTATGGACACATCTTAAATCCATCCAGTGACCCCTACAACGGGGGGGGGTCCGAAGCAAGCTTCTATAAATTTCTATGGGGGTACTTTTTTTTTTTTAAATTTTTTATTTTAAAAATTTTTATGGTCGATGTTTAGCAAATTAGTTTGTTATCCGATATTTCTTATCATAAAATTATTTTTCCACTTTCAAGATTTGGCGCAAAATTAAAATTTTATCAAAGGGAATAGTAAAAATTTAAATATTAAATCTTATATATAATCATTTATAATTTTTAGATCATTGTCAAAATATGCCCAAAAATATTAACCAAAAAAAATATAAATGCTTGATTAAAAATTGTACATATCATAATATAAGAGATGATAAATGGACAGATCATATTAGAAAAAGACATATGGGCTTAATTTTCACGATATAAAGAAAAGCTTTGAAATAGTGGCTTTTAAGAATATTTCTCAAAATTGGACAAATATCAAAATAATTTTTTTTATTAAATAAGAAGTGAGAAAAAAATTAAGGGATTAAAATCTAAATTATATTCAAATCTGTTATCATATAATAACATAAATATTCTTATTGAAACCATGAAAAATATGGTTATAAAAAAAATTCAAAAGGAGATTGAATTCAACAGGTGCTATTCAATTATAGTTGATGGCACATATGATGTATCGAAATCAGAAGCAATAGCTTTGATAGTGAGATATGTTAAAAATAGCGAGACACCTAAGCCCGTTGAAAGGCTGATAGACATTTATTGTACGGGAAATACAACGGGCCTCGATATTAAAGAGAATATAATATCCAAGCCTGGCTCCATGAATCTACCCCTCGAATTCCTAGTGGGGCAAAGCTATGATGGCGCCTCAAACATGAGTGGAAGAATTAATGGAGTGCAGGCTTTGATTAGAGCGGAGGCGCCAAAGGCAGCTTTTATTTGGTGCTATTGTCATCGATTAAATTTAATAGTTGTTCAATTATGCCAATCAGTAAAAGAGCTGCCAAATGTCTTGGGAATATTAGACGAAATTTACGTATATTTTAATGGTGTTAAAAGATATGAAGTGCTCAAAACATGTCAGAGTGATTTACTGACAAAATCACATAGATTTTTACGCATCAAGAATACCACTCGGTAATATTATCTTAATTGCTTCGATATATAATGTTTATTTTATATTTATAGAAGCTGGCTAACATCATATAAGGCGATTGTAAATTTTTTCCTATTTTATGATGCTTTGAGGGCAGCTTTGGCAAATTTAAAGGATTCTGAAGATCCTGCCACTTCCACTATGGCTAGTGCTATAGTCTATAGAATAGAAAAATTTGATTTTATTTTATCACTATGTGTTTTGGATAAAATATTGTTGATAACTAGCTTGGCTTGTACAAAATTGCAAACCATTTCGAAGGATATAGGGTTTGCAATAAATCAAATTCAATTGGCAAAAGATTGCCTGATTAATATGAGAAGTATAATTTAAATTATTATCTTTTATTATTTTATAATCCTAAAATAGATAATAACACTGAATTTTTGGATGTCTTTTCAAAGGCCCAAGATTTTATGAAGAAGAGAAATTTACCTTTTGATTTTGAAAGTTCAAGACTTCAAACATTACAATCCAAAAAGGAGAGGTATATATATACTTTCATCATTAAATATAATATTTTATTTTAGCTTTAAAATCAGTGTGTTTTATGTTGCACTTGATTTAATTATTATGCAGTTTAGTGAAAGATTTAACGATGAATCGATAAAATTTTTGAGTCAAACATCATTTTTTACCCCAAAGGGAATGGCGGAAAAGGCAATTGTTAAAGATGATATCAAGGATATCTGTGAATTTTATCAATTAAATACAAGTCAAGTTTTTGAGGAAATGTTGATGTTTAGAAATATTTATAAAATGGCTAAAACGGGGGACGTAATTATTACTCGTGACCTAGAGGTTAAAGAAGATTTGTCAGATTCTGAGAATTGTAAATTTATTTAATTAAAATATTTTTACTAATACATTATTTAGCTTCTTCTGATGATGATAATAATTTTGAGATGAATGATTAAGACTGGAGAAACTATTCATTTATTTTACCTTATCGTCTGCTTATAAATTTTTCTGCTTTCCCAAATTTAACAATTTTATATAAATATTTATTAACTATTCTTACTACATCATGTACTGCCGAAAGGGTCATGAGTAAAATTAAACTAATTAAAACAAGACTTCGTAGTGTCATGAAAGATCCATTTCTTAATAATTTAACCATTTTATCAATGGAAAATAATTTATTTAAACAATTAAATATTGATGAAATTATAAATTCTTTTGCTTTCTCTTCCCCTAATTTATCTAAATTATTAATTTAAAAATAATATTTTTAAAGCATATATTTTTTACATTATATTTATATTATAATAAATATTGATGCAATAAAAATTATTTTTGAAATTTATTGGTGTCAAAAAATAATTTACAATGGGGGGGGGGGTACTTTAGGGGGGTATTCTGCTTCTATCCCTCAAAAAGTGTAGGGGTCACTGAATCCATCCACCCAACATTATATAAGAAATGTGAGCAAATAAATATTGGCAGTAAAAAAATTAAGACAATAAAATCATTTTTACTTAATAATATAAATCATAAAGCTAATTTAAATAATTTAATTATAAACTTTTTCATTCAAAATAATTTAGCCTTTTCAATAGTTGAGTATATCACTTTTAAAAATTTAATAGCATATTGTAACCCTTCACTAACTTTAGTTTCTAGAAAAACACTAGAAATAGAAATTATGAAACATTATCATAGTTCTTTTATCAATTTAAAATCTGTACTTTCTAACATTACATCTAAATTTTCCTTAACAATGGACATTTGGTCCTCTCCAAATAAAATACCCTTTATGGGCATAACAATTCATTATATTGATAATGATTTTAAATTAAATAATTATTTATTAGATTTTATTCCTTTTAAATCAGCACATAATTCTATTAATATTTTTAATTCTGTATTAAAAGTAAAATTTAAAATTGATTTTTTTTTGCATTACATTAGACAATGCAAGTAATAATTTAAAATTTTAAAACAAAAAGATAATTTTGATAATGTGTGCTAATGCTTTTGCCATATTATACATTTGGCTGTCATGGCTGCATTGGAACCCTTAAATACAACTTTAAAAAAAATAAGAAATTTTTAAAAAATTTTTAAACTTTCTATATCTAAATTTAATAAACTCGAAAAAATATATCTTGAAAAAATCCACACTTAAAATTTCCTCACCCAATTTTGGATATACCAACACGTTGGAATTCAACATACCAAATGCTTGAAAGAGCAATATTGCTCAAACCATATTTGACAACATATACCAATCATTTACAAAATACCAATCAAGAAAATTATATTAGTGCCTTAGCCTGGAATAATATAGAAATATACCAAGAATTTCTGGAACCATTTAATTTTGCTACAGAGATGGCCTCATGTGCTAATACTCCAACAATTTCAACAATTATTCCTTTATATTCCAGTATTTTTGAGCATGTGGAGAGTTATAATAATAATCCTAATGCTATTTTAAAGACAGCTTCTTTAGCTGCCTTAACAAAACTTAATAAATACTAATTATAATAAACACCTCTTTATTATTTCAACAATGATTGACCCAAGATTTAAACTATCAAGTCATTTATTAAAGCATAATAATATGGAAACTCTTATTGGATATCTTACTAATGAATACAATATTTATAAAATAAATAATAACAATTCAGCGGAACTTACAAATGAAGCACAAAATAACAAAAAATTGTCCTTTTATGACAAAATTTATCAGGCGAAACCTCATAATAATAACAACTTAGAAATAAGTAAATACGTAGATGAAGCCACAATTTCCAATGATACAAATCCATTAGATTGGTGGAAATTAAATAAAAATAGATATCCAGTATTATCAAAAATTGCCAGAGATTATCTAGCTATTCCGGCCACCTCATCTAGCTCTGAAAAGGCTTTTTCAGAAGGACGGTATGTTATAACAGACCAACGTTGTTCACTAGATGAGCATACTATACAAGCTTGCCTGTGCCTAAAAAGTTGGATGCGCATACAAGATTTTTCTTAAATACATAAAATTATTTCCTCTTCTTATATTAAAATTATATCATTCTTTTGCATTATATTTTGTATAAATAGACAGTTATGTTACATTTTTAGTTTACTTATTTTGCTATGTTCTTTGTGATAAATAAAATGGTTCAAAATCAATACGTTTATTATTGTTGATACAAAAAATACATGATTAAATCAAAATTTTTTATATTCACATCACCTAATAAATTCCTAGTTTAAAAAAAGAATTTGAATTCAGTAAAATTTTGAGAGTTGGTTCTTAGCCCTGATTTTATGGTATCATGATTTTTTTTTCCCATGTTTATTTAAAATTAGAAATTAAGGGTTTTATAATCACTATTTCTATTCTTTTAATTAGTAATTTGAATTTAAACCAATACCAATATAAACCAATAGTTACCAATATAAACCAATAGCAATACCAATACAAGAAATAGAAAATATTGTTTAAACCAATACCAATATTTTAGACCCAATACCAATACAATATTTTGTTAATATTGGGTTTTTACTATTGGTTCCCAGCCCTACCTGTAATGGTTAAAAAAACTTCGATTTTTATAGTCATCCTTCCAAAAATCAGTGTTATTGACAAGTAATTATTATGGATCATGCTTTTAATCTTAATTTCATCGTATATTTTTGGAGCTATAGTATTCTTAAGAATTTTCCGGCTCACAATATCTTTTATATTTTGTTGTCCGTATATAACACTAACATTTATTAACTCTTGGCCTAGCTTGTAAAATCCTTATTTTCTGTTGCATCTAAAGATAGAAGATCTTTACAAATAAAATATAACTGACTTTTCTGTAAAATGTTTAAGCAAAATTTAACAAAAAGTCTCGCGATAAAACACTTAAACAAAAAGAAAATAGAACTAACGGTATGATACCGGATGTTGTTTATAAAATGCGGAAGATTTATTCTCTTCAAAAATTATTCTTTTTTAAAAAAAGAACTATTAAATTAGAAAATATATATTATAATTATAAAATTGCATATTTATAATTTTTAAAATATTTAAAAATTAAAATTTCCGTGATTCACGGGAAATTTATGTTCACGCCCGGGAAAAATTTTAGGAAGGCCCGTCACGCCCAATCACGTCTAATAATTTAAAATTTATCCACTCACGCCATAACACGCTGGGTAACGCGTAATTTCACGGCCCGCGCCTACCTCTACTTGGAACTATAAACTATATTTAAGCTTTTAATCTTTTCCGATTATCTAAAAGTTTTCTATTTTGTTTTACGATCTTGTTAAAGCTCCTTCATACATTTTCTTTCAAAATAGTATTTTGTCTGTAGAGCGCGATAGAGTTGAAATATAGTTCTAGTAGCACAATTAGGACACAATAGATTTGGTATATGCGTTGAGTCATAACAATGGAAAGGGGGGGGGATAATTATATACACGTGGGCGCTTGTTAAATACAAGCATAATTGATGGAGACCAAATTCAATTATGTAATTCTCCCCTTACTAATCAATTGGTGCCGTCCTGCATACAGCTGCGAAGATGATATTAATATTTTTGGTTTATCATTTACTTTATTATTCTTATCTGCTTTTGAGGTAACTATAGCATGTTATAATTTCTTTTTTAGTTTTGTTCTTTGGTTCATTTAATGCTTTTATATCAAGTAAAGTTTCTGAAGATATAGGATTTTGAGTTTCGAAGAATCAGAATCATAACACTGCATTCACAGTTAGCACAAATTCGCAGCGAAGTATACAATGAGAATTCGCATATGGTGTTTTAGCATTCATTTAAAAATAACATAAATACATAAAAGTTAAACCGAATATAAGATTAGACCTGTTCCTACTTAGTGGAATAGAGGACATCTTTTTTTATGTATTTAAATAAGGCATTAAAGTGAGTTTAATTAATTTTTATAAAGTTATTTATATTTATTGCATAATTCATATGCAAATTATATTGTTTTTATTCCATATTTTTAATATTTAGAAAATTTTCATAATATATTTGGCCTTTTTCTAAAAAATTATAGAAATCTTTGCAAAACGAAAATTGTATTACGTACATATATTTGGTTTTATAGCTTCACGGATAATCTATTCTCATTTGTCCATTGACTGTTGATTAAAGAAAATGTTCCTTCAACTTTAGCATTATGAGCAATGAAGCTTGCTATAATTAACAGTTCACTATGTTGTTAAGGATTGGAATATCATAGAAATATTTGACCCATTCTTGATGAAGAGGAAGTTTTGCAATTCAACAAATCTCATTTTATGTGTAATAAACGATTTAAGGTTGCAAAATTGGTAGAACAATTAAAGAAACATTTTTATTTTTCAAAAAATCTATAGACTTTTTTTAAAATTTGACATGGGAACATTTTTAATTTCCATCCATTGTAAATACCAATTCAGGCGCGTAACCAATGGGGGGCCCATCGCAAATTTGACTGTTTTCATTAATATCATTTTAAGCTAATTGTTGATATGACCTATTAATACTAACCTTTAAATTGTTTTTTTGTGTTTATATAAATTGATTTTTTTTATAAATTGTGAAAATTGATTTTTTTATATAAATTATTATATTATGTAAATTAATTTTTTGTTTGTAACATGCTATATAAGCATACATTTTTAATTTTCATGAACAGATAAAGAATAAAATATATAAAAATGGAAATGGAACTGAGCCTAATTAAAGATTGTCTTTTTAAAGAGAATTGGATCATTATACCGTATGAGAAAGGAGATAATACCGGAATTACACAAAGGGCATCTTGGTGCTGGGAAAACGAAATTGTTGGCGAGAGATTACTTGTGGTGGCCTGGTCTAAACGCTGAAATAGATCAGGAGGTGAGAAACTGTGATACGTGTAATAAATATGCTGACAATCCTCACAATGTACAAAATCCATGGGAAACAGCTGTAAAAGTGTTCGAACGCGTGCACATCGACTTTGCACAGTTTGAAAGTAGCAATTTCTTGGTATGTGTTGACGCACTTAGCAAGTTTCCTATCATTAGAAGAATGAGAGATATAACTACTGAGTCTACTATTAAAGAATTATTAAAAATAATCAGTTTGTTTGGTATACCCAATATGATAGTCAGTGATAATGGTACGAATTTTACAAGTAGCTTGTTCAAAAAATTTTGTAATGATCATGGAATTGATCACATTTTCACCGCGCCTCACCACCAACAGTCCAATGGTCAGTGTGAGCGAATGATAAGATCAATGAAAATATGTATGA